TTCCAATGATATCTGACAAATTAGTCAAATCTCGGTATCACAAGTGCTTTAGTTAGTCCAGAGACGACAGTAAAAATTTCTGACAATTCTTTTATCACAGAAACATTTTACCAGAACAGTTATGCTTCGTGAAAAGTGGCATGAGTGAGGAGTATTGTCTGGATTTTTTCACCGGGGCACGCCGGTGTGTTGGGAAATGAACAGGCGGACAGACTGGCTGGCTCTGCACAACTTGGTGGAATACTAATACATGAAAAGGCAGACGTGGTTAGTGCCTTGTGGGAGAGCGTGTACAGTTCGGAGGAGCAGATGGATCACCACAGTCTGGTGAGATTGATGCAGCAGGGAGTGACGAGAAGTTCTGGCAGATGCTCGAGGCTCAGAGGAAAGGCAAGACGGACGTTTAATCAGAATGCTACTGGCACCATTAGTATCGGAACTATTCGCTGGCTGCTGAAGATGGGGACGGAGCGCTTATGTGAATGCCCCGAGTGCTGTGATGTCGGTTCTTGAATCAAATCAATCTTTTATCACACAGCTAGCTTTTACAATCTGAATTGTTGGGTTTACCGCCATTGCGCCAGTGTTACTGTTTGCACTTATTTGCATTCAAACACTGGCTCCTTATAAGGACAACTTGGGATAAAAGGCGTTGAATTAATTTGATTAATATATAAATCAGTATTTTTTCAGATCAGCCCAGGCAGAGCAGGCAGTGCGCAGGACTCAACTCACCAAGGACCTCTTCCTCAACCTAGCAAGCTATCTGTCTCTCTCCATCTTCCGACCTAACTATCAAATATCTTGGCACCTTCGGGCGTTCTAATTTTTTTTTGCAAACCTTTGTTACCTCCTCTACATATTTAACGGCTGCACACAACAACCAGATTGTGACAGTCGTCCTTTTGGGGGCCTTGTTTTAGGTCGCTCAGTGTGCGGGACTGTTTGTTTCGCGGTGGTGTGGCTGAGGACTGACTTGGTGCTAACACAGATGAACAGTGCAACAGCTAGCGGATAGCCAACTAAACAGGAACCAGGACCCAACAGAACCAGAACTTAGGCAACAAATGATCAAACTCAGGTGTAATTGCTCACCACAAAGGAAGATAAATAAATAAGATAGCAAAGGAACCGTCCTTGAAAAAGCAGGCCATCAGGCGGCTAAAAAAGGAGTAAGCTTGGAATTTTTGTTTGATTTTATACGATACGAAAAGGCGTTGAAGTAAATTTATGTTGATAATGAATTACTGGAGCCGCCATGGTGTAGTGGCTGGACACCGCCTGCGGATCCGAAAGTCATAGGTTCGAATCCGTCTGGAGCCGGATTTGTTTAAAAAAGGACCTTGGCACCCAGATTGACACAGCCTTGGGTGAATACAAGGTACAGTCATGGGAAGTAAAGGCGGTCAGTGTGATGTTGGGCGGGGGGGGGGGGGAATGTAACGAAAGTGACAAGTGAAACATGTTAGCCACATTACAACATTAAAAACTTGACGGAAAACCTAAAGTCAGATGATCAAGAGGCAGACTGACATAACAGGGAGGATCTTCTCCTTAGTGTTCACCGGCTGTAAACTCCGGCAGAAAGTTCTGGTTGTTCGTCTACCTCTGGACTTGGGTCTCGCTCAAGGACCACCTGAGTTTACAGATCGGGCTTATTTGTATGCAGACTGTTGAGGCGCAGGCACACCGAGGCCATCCCACCCCATAAACTAGTTCATTTTACTTTTAATGTTTAATTCAGAATCGGCATCAGAGCACCCGGGACAGTCCCATATGCGCTTCGTCCCCAGCTTCAGCGGCAAGTGCAGAGTTCCAGCTGCGATGGTGCCAGTAACAATCTGATACTCTCCGTTTAGTTATATGTCTATACATTTAAAATAAAATGCTTCCTTTGAAGTCGGAGTGCATCTGCCGGAGAGGCAAGGAACCAACAGTGTGTATTCAAGAGAATGAGATCTGTAAAACTGATGCACACGCAACACTCAGCTTCTGGAGCAGGACTGCAGTTCAGTAGTGGATGAGCAACCAGAACCTTCCGCCAGAGTTTACAGCTGGTGAACGCCAAGAAGAAGAAAGAAGAATATTATTTCAAATACACTTTTACATTTATCTGCCATTCAGACCATAATAATCATGATTGTTTCATTTGTGGTGGCACCCTTGGCCTCTGCAGTTAAGAGAAGTCTTTGAAAACAACCGAAAATGGCATGTGAAAATAAACGTGCCCTGAAAGACAAATCCCCACCTGAAAACGCAAGTATAAACAAGACTAAAAAAGGATGATTCGTTTCCAAAGTAAACATGATGGCCGATCAAACAAAGGCAGCTCTGCAAGTGGACTTAGATCGTTTCCCAAAGAAGCAACATGCAAACAGGAAAAAGCGCTATAACGGCACAGTGTAAACAGAATGGAGGAAATGAAAACATGAAACTGTCAACAGGAACCATTCTCCTGTTGTTGTTCAGTGGTTACTGCTACAGAGTACAGTGGATACAAGACAACTGAACAGTTCTTGAGGTCACCAAAGTAATACAAGTGTTGATAGGACACGTAACATACAATGTTTGTGTGCCACCGGGGATCTGTCTTTGGAACTCAAAGGTAAAAGAAAAGAAGGTACTGTATTTGTATACGACCACATCTTGTCGGCTTCGAGATTTCGTAGGGAATTTCTAGGGATTCTTTTGGGTTTTTCTGAACAGTTCATTATTACGGGGGTGGGTAGGGCTAGAATTAATTGAACAGCGACTACTACTAAGCCAACACCCCCCCCCCCCCCCTCTCACCCAAATACTATGGGACGTTCTGGTGGGGATTTTCCATATCTTGAAGCAGAGGAGATGTGGAGATGTGGTCGTAAAAAGATAAAAGTATCGAAACGATTGAGGGACAAATTTAAAAAAAAAATGAAGAGGATGTTAAAGTAGCTTTGGGAAAGGGTAATATATGGGAACATATGGGAACTTGGCGTGAATTGGAAGAGACCATAGGCTTTACTGCAGGATGAAAGGAAAAATTCGAGAACAAGCGGAAGCATATGTCACAAAACGCGGTGGATAATAAAGATATTACAAGCAATAGGAAAGTTCATGATTGGTTGTGAAAACCCTGACAGACTGTGGGTGTTGCGAATTAAGTCAGATGAACTGGTATTCCTCCTCATCCTCTTCTTCTTCGCGTTCACCGACTGTAAACTAATTTGTATGCAGCTTGTTGGTTCCTTGCCTCAGGTCAATGCACTCCGTCTTCGAAGGAAACGCCTAATTAGTTTACTCTTAATTCATGCCTGGTTTGGAGGCAGTGAGTCTAATGCCCCCCCCCCCCCCCTACCCCAACAATGGGGCCCAAGAACCCACACAGGGGGCACTGACAATGAGGTTTTAGCAGCCTGAGTAGACGGGTTTCTATCTATCGAGGTTAGGCTGGTGCTGAGACCATTCACCAGACCCAGTTCAACATTCTATCTCTGTGACTATTGTTGCAGAGATCTTTCCTCCAAGATTTAGAAACCAGAGGGGTGTTCATGACCAGTAGGTAACATGGCCGTCATATAGACTGGCTGGCTGACTGTTAGAAGACTCAGTTCTAACTTTTTAGTTTTCTTCTTCTACTATCCTTCTGTCAGAAAACCTGCATCAAGAGGCTAGTAGCTTGATGAAGACAGTCATGCAGTCCAGATCTCCCTGTGTACCATAAAGCTTGACCGAGACGGGAAAAGGTCAGATGGCTTCTCTGTTTGCAGTTCAGAGTTTACAGCGTTTGAGTACATGTTAAGCTTTTTAAGGCGCCAAGCTGCAGACACAGATGTCCCTATCTCTTTATATCCTGATATTTCAGTTTGCTGAGCATTGAACAGAGCTTTCATTTAGCAGTGACAATCTTACCAACCTGGTACTGAAATACCTTTTCCTAAGGGACTTTGCTACAAAGTTCTCCTTTCCTCTCCAGGTGTAGGAACCAGCACTTTACATTTGTTCCTTGCCTCTCAGGCAGATGCACCGCAACTTCAAAGAAAACATCCCTAGTTAGTCGACTTTTACATCGTGCCTGTTAGGCCTAATCCTCTCCCCGCCCCCCCTACTCGCAAATGGGCCCCTGGAACCAACACGGAGATAGCCGAAACATGACACGCAAGCTGGATTACTAACAACCTTATAGGCCCCAAAAAGAAATAACTTTTCACTGTCGATGCTTTAACGCAGTTCGCTTCTTTTTAAATTATTGAAACATATAAATAAACAGCAGAGATGGGGAAGCAGTATTTAAGGAGGAAGTAGAAAAAAAAAACCCAGTAAATACAAAAACAATGAATTAGAAGCAAGACAAAAAAAAAAAAAAGACAGCAGGGCAAATTTAAACTGAAACCCAGTCTTATAGTAAGTGTTCACATAAAACGCATACATACACATAACAAATTGATGGTGGTGGAGAAGCAAAAGGAGTATTTGAGAAGGAAGAATAAAAAATAAAAAACCAACAACAGCAACAACAAAAACACTGAACAAAAAGCATTAAAAAGAAGAAACAGGAAAGAAAATAAAAAGAAGCATAAAGTAAAAGTAAAGTAAAGGACCCTTTCCACGCCTTTAGGCGTATAGGGCATATAGGGCTAGACCTATATTTTTATAGACCAACGGCACAAGATGGGTGATGTGGTCAGCATCACGCCGGCCGCCTCTACTTTCCGGGATTGCACCCGGTACCCACTCAAGGCTGGGTCGACCTGGGAGCCAAGGTCATTTTTGAAGAAAAGTCCGCCTCCGCCAGGGAGCGAACCCACGACCTTCCGATCCGCGGCGAGCGTCTAGCCGCTCGGCCACGGCGACTCCCAAAAAGAAGCATAGGCATACTTAACTTCGTACAGACACCCAAAATAAACTGCTGTTAGCGAAGTAGGAAAAGCAGGATGTGAGGAGGAAGAAGAACAGCAGCAACAACAAAAACATTGAATAACAAGCATGAGAAGGAAAGAAAATAAACAGATATACAATCGTACCTTAACTTTCCTCTTCTTGTCCAAAAGTGACCTGGAAGTTTTGGTATTCTCCCCGATGAACACAATGTTGCATGGTTTAATTTTCCTCATCTGTGGCTGGTACTCCATTACATCCTCAACTATGATACCGGACAGATCCAGCAAAGGCACCATCCTACCGGAAGACTCCTGTTTCCGATTCTCCTTCTTCTTCTTTGCCAGCTGACTGCTGTCGAAAATCTGTGCGGGACCACTTGACTTTAACCTGTTTGCTTCCATCTTTCTCCTGACGGCTGTGATTTCATTTTCTATTTCTGAGCTGAGTGTGTCCTGTTTGGCATTATCTGTTGAAGACTTTGAGTTGTTGGAACTGACTGAGGAAAGCACTGTTCTTGAATAGATATTGTTATTTTGAGAACTGGCACTGACATCCGACGAGCTGGTCACATCATCAGCAGCCTGACTTGGGGTAGAGCTTTGTTGTTTTAATCGCTGAGCAATTATACTTGGAATTCCTTTCACTGGTTGCTCATTTTCATCCTTGTCTTTTATTACTTTTTTAATTGGTTCTTCATTTGATACCGTCGCATCTTTTGGGTGTAAACGTTTGCTGGGTGCCGTTTGTTCTTTCCTGATTTCCTGATGCGACCCTTCATTAGAGACGTGACTATCTGAAGACATTTTGCTTAAATTGTCTGTACTTATCTGTGCTGCCGGAAGTACTGATATGTTATCCTTGGCTGTAACCTGTGCTGGTGGCTCAGGTGCCATTCGCTTTGGTGCTGTTAGCCCTGTTCTTGAAGCTGCCGCTGGTTTTGCAAATTTGAAACTTGTATCTGTTTCCATGTTGCTAGAGCTATCACCCACTATAGCTTGTTCTCTGTCTGCATCACCTGTAAGACTTCTAATCTCAATTGTTGTCTCTTTCTTTGTTTGTATTATTCTGCTAGTGTCTGCTTTAATTTTCTCAGAATTTTTATTATTCTCGCCACTAAATCTTTTTTCATGTGACAAAAGTTTGTTATTCGGCTCATAAGTAGCATTGTCTTTCTCAAACATTTTCTTAGCCTCTCTCAGGGGAATGGAATTTTGTTCTGGTTCAATGTTCTGATCTATAATCGCAGAGGATGAAATACTGGTCTGTGTGCGTTCATTTGTTATTTGTGACTTCTCTCCGTGTTTACTTATATCTGACTTGGAGAAGATCATCACCGGGTGTCCGTCGTCTTTATCCTCGGGTTTGTCTTTATAAGGGGCTACAGACACAACAGGACGTGACTTCTGATAACTGGTGGTAGCAGAAGCTGGAGGAGACAAAGCTACAGGCTTCACTGCGGTGTTTTGTTTGTGGCTAAAGGTTGGTCTCACACTTGCCGTGCTGCGGCTGGAGGTAAAGGAATACTGACTGCTGGAAGATTTAGATCCATCAGGAATGTTGTCGTGTTCGAAACTTGATGACTTGTTATCGCCAGATGTTGCAGATCTTGAAGATGAGGAGGAATCTGGTATATTCTCTTTGGCCAGCCCTACTGAACTTGAATACTCTGCTGGTGATTCCACTGTAACATTTGATTTTGATGGACCCTTCAGGTCTTCAGATCTGTATGAATCTGACAATCTCTTGGAGTAATCAGATGTTCGTGTGTGCACAGAATTGGCGGGAAGCAAGACATAGGTATCGCTAACAGGTCTGGGTGATGTCAGAGGGGAGAGATTCTGTACACTTGCTCGTTTTGCAACACTATCTAGATTAGAGAAAGTTACATCGGTGTGCAGGGGTGACATTCCCGGCCTGCTAGATGGTGACACCGGTGAAAGCTGTGGATCTGTTCTCTGCCTCCTAGAATTGAGACTTGCTGCAGAAGAAGCACTCTCAAAGATGCTGCGTACAGTCAGCACTGTATTCGGCTTGGGTAACTCATCCTTCGAAATTATTTCACGGCCAATGACAAAGTGAGTTCCAGAACCATCCCGTTCTCCACTTCCATCAACTTTTGGGCCTTTCACCGGTGAGGAAGGTGTCTTTTCAATGATGATAATGTCATCCCTAGCCAGATCGAGATCCCCATGGAATCCGGTACCAGACAATTGCCTGTCTTTATTTAAATTTCTTGCAGCATGTTGTGGTGATGTCCTCTGGCTGAACTGCTGAGGTTTTTGATGTGCATGGTTTAAACCTTCTATGCTTTTGGCTTTGTATGAGAGTTTAGATGCTGTTGAAAACTTATCATTACCCGTATGAGCAGCAGACTCTGTGGAAACTTTCAATTTGCTTGTGACAACTTCACTGTCCACCAACAGTTCATCAAGACTTGTTGACCTCCTAAAACTTGAATACTCTTCTTTGGCTCCAAGGGATGCAAATTTATCTTTCAACTTGTGCACAAACCCAGACATTGGGTGGTACTCCCCAATGTCATCATCCTCGACAGAAATGCTGCTTTGCCGAAAAATATGCCCATCTGTTTTTGTGGCGGCAGGAATATTATGCTTAATTCCAAAGTGTTTAAAGAATGGGTTTTCTTGAACAGATCTGATGCTTTCCATGGCTGCCTGTGTGGGGGGAATGGTTAAACTCTTGGGTAAACAATTAATACTTTCAATATTATCACTGTTAGCGGACTGTAGGTGATGTGTTTGCCGCTGTATAACTTCTCACATTTTTCTGTTGTCTAATGTGTTTTTCAACATTTACTTTGTAGACTGTCTTATGGTCTGCTCTGTGTGGTGCAATCAATACCTATAATGATACAACAGTTTGATCAATAAATTGTTACATGTGCTACTACAACTACTGACAGTGTTAGTAAAGTAAGCAAAGGACCTTTTCAACAGCAGTTACAATAGATCAGTAGTTGCACATACTAATAATCGCAGAAGCAAACATTATTTCTCCGGCAATAGGCTACTTGCCATATGTCTGAATCTGCAATTCACAACACAAATCATGTTGGGTACCGCTGAAAAACATTACAAATGGAAACCACACCTCTTAGTGTCACCTAGGCACTCAGCTCAGTAGCAGGGCAACAGAACTATACATATTAAGTAATCATCATCGTGTGTCATACAGATGTGCGTCATACAGATAAGAATGAATGGTCACAGTTTGCCATCTCATACAATCACCAATCTCAGAGACACATTGTTCTTGTCTCAGCTATGCCAGTTGGTAAGTTGATGACCAACTCCAATAATGAGAAAACAGATGATGATCCTAAAGCCTTTTACAACTAACTGGGAAGCTACTAAAGTGAGGAAATTAATTTCTGTAGCATTAGGCAGTTAATACAAAGTTTACAAATACCTGCTGTTTTTGTTTCCTGCCTCCCCCCCCCCCCCCCCCCCAAGTCTTGCACTCAGGAACCATATCAATATAATGTATTTTAATATAAACCAAAAAAAGAGATAGATGGATGGAGTAAAAGACACAGCAGACAGGCAATGTGACACAAACTATACAACTAGCAAAAGACAATAAATTACATCTAACTCCTCTCTGCAATGCTTTATGGCATATACAGGACAAAAGACAAAGAAGATTAATATATTTTCTTCATGATTACTGCCGTAGCATAGTGGTTAGAGTCTCCCAAACTGGCCTGGGATACGAATTCGCATGGAAGTGATTTTGGGTGGGGGGGGGGGGGGGGATGATCGGGTTGGAATGGGACAGAGGTTCAAAATTAATCTTTGGTAGCAGGTCCACCCAGCCTCAAATGGGTACAGGGAAGTAAAGGAAGGTGATCAGCGTGATGCTGGCCAGCATCATCCACTGACTGGTCTATAACAGAATAGGTCTAGCACCAAATGTCCATAAAGGCCCAAAGAATGAAACAAGTCTTTACTATTACTTTTTTACTGTGATGCCTGCAAAATTAAACTAGATATTTATATTCAAGTTTGATTCACTGTATATTACTACATGACATATTTCAAATACTGAATAAAAATCACCATTAAGTGTCTGTTGAGGGCAACTAAAACCTCATATTCCTCCCAATGTGGGACACACACAACTTTTTTGTATTATATCAAAGCCCCACCCCAGCTAATGTCCAGAGCCTTAAATATAACCCAACAACTGAATGGTGTTTCTGGGATGTGCTCCTGATGATTCTCATCTGAATGGTGGCCACTTTGTGTCACCAGGTGGCACTTACTGTGAAGTCCTGGTGGGAGTTAAATGCCACTCACTCGTTCAGCTACAATCTCTAGCATCCTCTGAACTGGACGTCCTAAGGGAGAAGGGGTTCCTAATTCCTGACAGTCATTCAAACAAACTTTCTACTGATGTCACCTCACACGCTGACATTTCCTCTCAACTCTTTCAGTCCCAGGTGGATTTAGCATCTAAGGCCCTAGGTGTAATAAAGAGAGACATAAAATAGGTACATCTGGCAATCACTGTTCAACCTATGAACACAGCACAATGTTAATATAGCAATAATATGAAAATTAATCCCACTGTGGGTTCCAGGTAACCATTCTTGGGGGATGGGGAGGCCTACTGCTCCCTTAACAAAACATATAATAAAAGGCAAGTAATTATGTGTTTGCTAAAACTGTATGTGTTAGGTCAAAAGGCGCAGATACCGCAGCTTAGCTGTATTTTAAAAAATGACATAATATGCCAACCACTGTATTAGGGTTAAACAGGGAAAAAAAACAAGAAGACTGACATGTTCCCTGTTTGGGTTACGGTGCCCCATTTGTCAGGTGAACACAAATTTGACCCACTGCCTCCTTTACAAAACATATAATAAAAGATGAGTAACCGGGGGTTTCCTTCTAAGTCGGAGTGCATCTGCCTGCCAGGCTAGGAACAATCTACAGGCAATTAAGTCAATAAGTTATAGGCCTATCTGTAAAACTGATGTGCACTCAACACTCTGATTCTGGAACAAGACTTAAGTCCAGAAATACACGAAAGTGACGAAAAAGTAACAATAAAATGAAGGGAACTTGAATGGATGCACACGCTGTTTTGGCACAAATACTTTATTATTACTTATTTGGTAGAAGTGCCTCAACTGCCCGACCTCACGCTTGTTAAGTAATTCTTTTCTTCAAAAAGTAATAAATACGACTAAGTTTAGAAAAGTGACCGGACTCGGTGAGTAAAATTAAAGTCGCGTCACTCACACTCACACATTTTCTTTAAAAATCGTTCGTTTCTACTAAAAAATCTCTTGCATATTACCTTTTGTTAAAGGGTCCATTCTTCTCTCTTACGACAGAAATATCTAGATGGCTTATGTAAATTACTGGGTATATTATCTCTGCTACGATAGGCAGTGTCTCTAGCGCTGGGAATGAATATTCAACGAGCGCCATCAACAAGTTGTCAAACTGAGAACGGATATCTTGATTGATGACACTTTTAAAGAGCGATCCCATACACACTTGATACTTCCGTGTGTGTACAATTATCACATTAATCAAGTTAAGTAGTAAACAGTAATAAAACAGTTTATTTACTTACTATATTCCACTAAAAACGAGACACATCCTGAAGGGAAAGACGAAATATGAGGTTCAAAACAAGCGACAGAGAGACCACAACTGTCCGGGACAAGATCAGATCCGTCTCTGACTCAACAAACCCACGGTTGACAGACGATAAGCCTTGCAGACGTCACGGGGTTAGAGGTTACCGGGCCAAAGTTCTTTAGTCTATCCCACTTCTCACAGCAAGGGGTAACAGAATCCAGGAGACCCAAGACTTGAAAAGTGAGAGATTGGGTAGTCGATTTGAGTAAAAAGTGTTTTTTAAAGCATGGGCCGCTGCCACTAGTGGGCCGCATAAAAGTCCAGGTACGCCACCAAAAATAGTTGCCTTATTAAAGGGGTAGGATAGGTAGTTTTTCTCTTCCAGTATTGCAGTCTGTACGACTAGGCCTAACATATAAACATTAGAATCAAACAGGTACAAGGGATATTCAATATAGCAAGTCAGCAATGACGACGTCAGCTCAAAGCTTTGATTAATATTTCCTTGAAAATGAGGTCATGGTAAAGATAACATTTTGATTAATAATACTGTTTTGGAAGATATGCAACCAAGCATAGCTGATTATCCTGAAAAAAAGAACATCCGATCGAGTTGGCGTCTAATGTCAATCTTGTGTCCAGACAGAAAATGAAACAATTTTCTGAGTGTTTTTTTTTTTTTTAATCACTTGAAAAATGATATCCATATACGAGTTATGGGGCTATCAAATTGTTGGCGGGGGTTTTTCCTTTCGACTTACTATCTGTGCCATAAGAATCAAAACCAAAACAGACATCAAATGAAATTTATTGCAGAGCTTTGTCTATCAGAATTAGATTTTCTAACCTATAAACAGCAGCAGCTGTTACATTAGCGGAAACTTGTAAGTTTGTAACATTGGATTTAACATATCAACTGTCATCTACATTTGTTTTTGTTTATGTGTTTAGTTAGCTTACACACCCCCCCCCCCTCCCCCACCACCACCACCACCGCCTCATATATATATATATATATATATATATATATATATATATATATATATATATATATATATTGCATAAGTTATACTTCCAAAAAATGCAGTGATTTGTCAGTCCTATTGTGTACTTTATTCGTAAGATACATTTCCTCCTGACGTTGTCCACGCACTTATTGTTTTCCTAAGTTATGTATTTTTTAAAAAAAAAGCATTTATGTGTACTGTGACCCTTGACCCAACACCCACCAATTTGGTAGGATCGTCGAACCGTGGGTGTAGTCGAGGTTGGCATGCAAGTTGGCGTGTGGAGGACGTTTACACAGAAATATGTCATACATGCACAATCTGTGCACGATTAAACAGCTTATGGGTCTCTCTCATAGCAGACTGCACACTGTGTCAGTTCACACTAGTAGACAGAGTCTCGAAGTAGGGGTGAAAAAATGGATTGGGTTTGTATTTAAAACTAGTGTACTAGTTCTGGTATCAATAATGAGAGTAACATCCTTTTAAGGATGTAATTTTTCGTTATTTGAAGCCCTACTCTGGCTCTTGCCAGGGGCCGCAATATAGCCTGGCCATAAATATGGCCTAAAGGCTGAACGCGGTTTCTGGGACCTCTCCACGGTGATCCTCACCCACATGGTGGCACATTGTGTCATCGGGTGTTTATCACTTGTGTGATGTCATGGTGGGGTAGAAAGTCAGTCAGTCAGTTCTGGTATCAATGATTTTGTTAAAGATTTACAAGTATAAAGTCGAGTGCCAGATTTTCGTTGTTCCTAGGTTTATGCTATATTTTTGTTTAAACTCGAGAACGATATAAATATAATGTTTTTACACTGGAACCCACAAAGGTATAGAAGTAAAGGCAGATCAAGAAACAAATGGAGAAGGGTGAACTAGAAAGTGAAGTTAAAAAACGAGGCGAGCTGCGAACAACTGCAAAGGATGGGACGAACTGGCCGAGGGCCATTGGAAACTGGGAGTGGGGGTGTGGGGGTGTGGGGGTGTGGGGGTGTGGGGACACACACACACACATATATATATATATATATATATATATAACATACATATAGGTCAGAAAAAGAAGAAGAGACAGAGCATCATAGGCGACCTTGTCCCTAATTTGCTTGCCGGAAGACGACTTCGTCGTTAGTCCGGACGGACAGTATTTGTGTCTGTCTTCTTTGATCGCATCAACACTGCAAGAGCCCTTTTCAGGGCTAATTGGTGACGGGAAATGCTAAGCCATTTTATGTGGCGTACATAGCCTGGTCACACTTATAACCGAAAGCTCCCCCTTCGGGGATGCTGGTTGAACGTGACGATTTTGTTTTTCGCAGAGCAGGCTAAGCCAAGAAGAGAGAGATATAGAGAGACAGAGAGAGAGAGAGAGAGAGAGAGAGAGAGAAAGATAGAGAGAGAGAGAGAGAGAGAGAAGTGCAGACACGCCTCTGAGAGTGAACTGGCATATATATCGTTTTCTCAAACATGTTTCAGAACCCACTTTTTGAGGGGAAACCAGAATAGATCCACTGCCTCTTAACAAGCATGTTGTAAAAGGTGACCCATTTAGGGTTTGCCAAAATCCTGTTGGGCCGAATGCGCAGATGTCACAGCCAACATGAACCCACAACACAAACAGCATGCCAATCGTACTTCTGGCGAACGAAGAAGATGCAGCAGCAGCAGCAGAAGAAGAAGAAGAAGAAGAAGAAGAAGAAGACAAAATAGCTCACTTCAAGCCATACGGAAACGGAAATTCCCACGACGCACGTCCACTGGATACAACAGTGGCGACCTTCACCCGTGGATTTGTATGGTCAATGTAGTTTTGTTGACACTGTACTAAAATATTTAGACCTTGTCTAAGCTGCAATGGTGTCTGTAGTAAAAGGCTGCATCCCAACAATGGGAACAGAATCATGGAAAAACCGATCATTTCGAGTGCTGACGTTAGGTAAAAATGTTGTAGGTACTTCCGATAGAAACTGTGACATCAGGCGTTCAGTTGACATTGTGCCACAAATTCGGGATGTGACGGTGACACAGTGCAATGAGGAAATCCGAAATTATACCAGGGAGGTCAGGGTTGTGGTTTCTAAGCTCAGGGAAAGTTTGATTGAGACGAACGAAGAAGTGAAAGCTTTAGTGAGAGGGAAGGAGGCATTGGAACGAACTTTGGAGCATACGAGAAAAGATCTACAACTGAATAAAGACTCGAAATTTGTCCGTTTAACAAGACCACCAGCGGAAAAGGTAAAAGTGAAACATGATCCATTTTTATCTATCATTATCATCATGTGCCGTGCTGGTGAGTGTAGGCAGTCATAATTCGCCATCTCAGACGATCACTTCAGTTACTAATCAGGTCAGTGCTCTAATTCCGCCCATACTTTATATTCAAGCCATTGGTGCATTTATATCATTGTCATCCCCATCAAGTTGTGCCAGAGCGTCCACTAAGCTTTCCAATGTATTCCTCCTTCAAATGTGCCTGGACTTCTTGACTTTCTGTGTCTACTCTTTCTGTAATAATGTATCGTTTAATTTGCGGATGCTTTCTTCTTTTTCTTTAAGGAATGCCTTTTTTCCCCCTAGCTTTTCGTGAAAGTAATGTGTGATTTGATGGATATGTCGCAAATCCAAGTTGCTGGTTGGATTAAATGTTTCCTAAAAGAAAGAAAGGAAAAAAAAAATGGAGTCACCACATGGTAGTTTGCTTTTACTTCTTTAGCTTTATTTTGCATTAATCCGGGCACTGGTTTTTTTTCTTTTTTGTGTCTATTACGGTAGTTCAGAGGTTTCGTGGAGGCTATGGGTTTTTCTTCTTTGTGTTAATAGTGGTGGTTCAGAGATTTTGTGGAGGCCAGGGGTTTTCTTCTTTGTGGTGGCCAGGGTTTTTTCTTCTTTGGAATAGTGGTGGTGGTTCAGAGTTTTCTTTTTTGTGGAGGCTAGGGTTTTTCTTCTTTGTTGGAATAGTGGTGGTTCAGAGGTTTTGTGGAGGCTAGGGTTTTTCTTCTTTGTGTGAATAGTGGTGGTTCAGAGGTTTTGTGGAGGCTAGGGTTTTTCTTCTTTGTTGGAATAGTGGTGGTTCAGAGGTTTTGTGGAGGCTAGGGGTTTTCTTCTTTGTTGGAATAGTGGAGGTTCAGAGGTTCTGTGGAGGATAGGGGTTTTCTTGTTTGTTGGAATAGTGGAGGTTCAGAGGTTTCGTGGAGGCTAGGGGTTTTCTTCTTTGTTGGAATAGTGGAGGTTCAGGGGTTTTGTGCAAGCTCGGGTTTTTTTTTTTCCCTGTGTGTCATTTGTGAAAATTCAGGGTCTTTATGGTATTTTCTTCTTGGGGGATATTGGTGGAGGCTCGCGTTATTTTTTTCTCGTTCGGAATATCAGGGAGTTCGGATTTATACTTCTGTGTGTCATGTGTAGAGTTTTAGCGTCTTTGTTTTGGAGTATTATTTCTTCTATCAACAAGTTTGAGCAATTGAAGTTTGCACCCCAGTACTTATATGTTTTTCCTCTCGTTTGAATTTTATATTATTGACATCTATATGTCCGGGGTTTATAGCCTTTTCTCTGTCTTATTACTATTATTATTCTGTCTTATTTTTATTGATAACTAGTGCAGTATCGTGGGCTGCTTCTTTAAGAGGGTCAGTTATTTTACTGCTCCAATTATTTTTCCTTAACCATATCATGTCATCTGCATAACCAAGTATTCTTGTAGTTTCTCCTGCAGTACATTTTTCTTTCAATTTCCTACTAATTTTCGACAGGGATAGGCTGAAAATAAAAACCGTCAGAGCATCACTTTGCTTTAAAACCGATGTTATTTGAAAAGGTTCTGACTTTTTACCTTTATATGTTACACAATAAAAATAATAACATGAATTTTTTAACAAGTTGCGTGTCAAATTTTCACAACTTACACCGAACCACGGGAGTCGCCGTGGCGTAGCGGCTAGACGCTCGCCTGCAAATCGGAAGGTCGTGGGTTCACTCCATGGCGGAGGCGGAATTTAAAAAAAAAAAAGACCTTGACTCCCAGGTTGACCCAGCCTTGGGTGGGTACCGGGTGCAGTCCCGGGAAGTAAAGGCGGCCGGTGTGATGCTGCCCACGTCACCTATCTTTTGCCGTTAGGTTTATAAAAAATATAGGTCTAGCCCTATATGACCTATCGCGATCGAAAACCACTGCAGGCTGCGTGGATTTTTATCAAGGTATGGGGCGTCGCAGGTCGACCCAGCCTTAAATGGGTACCAGGATGGGCTGGCCTGGGGAAGTAAAGACGGTCAGCGTAATGCTGACCACATTACCCATCAAGTGCCGATAGGTCTGTAAAAATATGGGACGCTCTTCCCATATACCCGATTCGCCTAAGGCGTGAAAGGGGATCTTTACTTTACTTTTACCTAAATCACCTATACACCTAAAGTCGTGGAAAAGGGTCCATTACTTACTTTACTTACACCGAACCAATAATGAGTTACATATTTTTTTTTAAAGTTGGGCACGATTTCTGAAACGGACCATAATTCCCTTTTGTCATGTGGATATTTCAGGAACATGATGGCGTCGATGACCTTCTAGAGGCCGAGTACGCCCACCTTGTAAACAGCAAGAGGTCCCTGGAGGTTCAGCTGAAGACAGCCCAGCAACACTTGCAAGTTTGTGATTCAGTTTGGGTTTTCTCTCTCCAGCCAGCATTTGTAGCCTACAGGAACACGTCATCGTCGTTATCGTCGTCTTGTAATCACCTTCGCCATTATTATCATCACAATCATCACATTGTTCCGGTCAATGTGGCCAATTGACTAGTTTACTTTTTGTCAGTAGTGGCATTTTTTGTTTGGGGGGTGGGTTGTTTGTTTGTTGGTATGTGCTTCTGATAAAATTTAACCGTTGCATTTTCCTTCATATGCTGACTGAAGGGATGCAATTCCATAGCCCAGCCACTGAGTGAGTGCCTGGCGCGGGACTGTGAGCTGCGGATTCAATTTGCAATGCGTTTTGACTTTGCCCGACATGGTTTGTGCTATGATCTGCAGATTCAGAAAAAAGGCGAGTGGCCAGTTGCCGGAGAACTTGAACTTGCGATTAATCGTGTGTGCAAACTACTGATCTTTACAACTGCTGCTTTCACCAACGATGAACTGCACATCTAGTGTTGGACTGCCTGTCTAAGCACTTATGACTGCTGCCTTAATCATCTAATGGGCGTGTCTGCTGCTGGGTGTGCTAAGAGAGCAGTTTGGGTAGATTTTTTCTTTACAAGGGACATTAATGGACATTCTGTGTGGTTGTCGTCGGCACAGGAACGGAGCATATACGGGGTAGCCCTTTGATTTAAAGTTGGAACTGCAATTACCTGATTACACTCATCATCAGCATTATTAGCATCATAATTATCGAGCCAGTCTCATTATTCCTTACATCATTATTGTCATTATGATTAGGTCATTACCCCTGTCACTATTATCGTCAACATCATTATCTCCATCATTATCAACGTCCTTACCAACGCCACAGGCATCATCATCCTGAAGTCATTACCATGAACACTACCATTATCATCACCTGGCGATTAACAGAACACATACTGAGGAGAAAACACGATGATAGGGTAAAAAAGAATGTCTTTTTGCTAGAATTCACAGGACAAAATAAATAAAGAGAGCTCTAAAAACACAACAGATAGAGAATTAAAAACAGAGATGAATACTGACGGAAGGACACAGAGTATGTTACAGGAGAAAGTTAAGGATAAGACTTAACATGTAGTCTGGTTTTTGATACCAACCCAGAAGGGTTAACCTATTGTATTCGTCTCAGGACCGCCGCGGTGTAGCGGCTGGATGCTCGCCTTCGAATCGGAAGGTCGCGGGTTCGGGTCCTGGCGACGCCATACATTAAAAAACAAATTGATTTAGGCTTCCAGGTTGACCTAGACTTAAATGGGTTCTAGGTGAGTCCTGGCAACTAAAGGCGGCCGGCGAAAAGTTGACCACGTCTCCCACCAAGCGCGGATTCTTCTTCTTCTTTTTCAGCATTCTTGAGGTTCATTGCTGCAGATATCATCCGCCTCCATTCATCTCTCTGGTTGGCCTCCTACCAGTTGGTGACACCAAGTGTTTGCAGGTCTGTTTGCACATTATATCTCCTTCTTCTGGGTCTACGACCATTCATCTCCCTTATGTATACAGTTTTTACTTCTCTGTCATCCGACATTCTTTATCAAGCGCGGATTGGTCTATAAAATATAGGTCTAGAACCCACAGACCGAATACGCCTAAAGGCAGGGAAATAGGTCTTTTACTTTTTATTCCGTATATAGTTCCGCTGTTTTTCTGGCTGTAAGAATGAACACCACCGTGTACCAGGGTTGTCACATTGGCATTTTTTATGCTAGATTCCACAAATTTGGCATATTTGAAATTGAACTGGCATAAGATAATGAACTGGCATTTTCTGGAATATTTTGGGTAATGGTTTTTCATAAAATGAAGTTTTTTTTATCTGGCAACCCTGCCGTGTACTATCGCCAGTGCCTAGACCAGAGCAGACAAAGGACGATCACATGCCTGCAAGAGCGCTCTCGGGTCTTGGACCTCATCTGTCACGCCCTTTCAGCGGTTCTCCAGCCCGAGAGGGATATTCTCAATCTGAAGCCTAACCGAAGCCAGGTGGAAGGTAGAACGTCTATGGTAGACCCGGGCAGGTAAGACCTTATTTTATTTATCATTCCGAGCCTTTTAGGTCCACTGCAGTAGATATCACCCGTCTCTGTTCTCCTCTGCGTACCCTGTTCTACCAGTAGACACCACCCGTCTCTGTTCGCCTCTGCGTGCCCAGCTCTTACATTTTCAAACCAGGTTAGTTGTTTCATTGTTATGTGATTGACTTTCTTTGTCCAGTGTTTGTAGATCAGTCTGTATATTTTCTCTGCACCATCTTTTTTTGTCTGCAGCATTACTCATATTCAACTGTTTTGTGTATACCGATGTCTCTCTGTTATCTGCCATTCTGTCTATATACCCAACCACTAAGTAATTGGCGTGAACGACTGTAGTAAAACAGAGACAGTAACCGCTTCCACGCTTAGTTTGTCGGTTATAAGATGGGCTTTTTTTTTTCATTTAGTGTTATGCTAAGTAGTCGGCTCTGTGGCTAAGTCGATGCAAACGCTTCGTAATGCGGGAGTGCCGGGTTCGATCCCAGCTGCGGGCCATGCGCCTTGCGTTGGTTTCGACAGTGTTATCAGGGGGCCGACCGTCCAGGGAGCAATGGCAGCAAACTACTGGACGTAAATTGCCTAGAAAAATCACACAACAGCCGGTGGCTGCTGTGGTTGGTTCTGCAACGTCCTGTAACGGATACGCAACTTACCTAGTTATGTTAAGTTAGGTTATCACAGTCGATGTCTTTGCACATTGTGCATCCCCATGCGTGCTCAGTCCTCCAATGCAGTAGCCACCCCAAGGTACCTCTACTGATTGTTCCCCATGAGGAGTTAATTATAACTTTACCTCGAAGACGGCATAGAAGAGCTTCATCAAACTTGACTTTTCGGTCACGCTGTCGTGTTAGCGTCAGAGATTTGCCATTATCCTCAGTAAATCAGTCTGTATATTATTTCTCTCCCGCCTTTCTTGGGGCTGCGTTGTTGTCTACTCCCATTCAACTATTTTGTGTACACATCCGTTGTCTCTCTTATCTATCATTCTGACTATATGCCCTAACCAGTCGGAAGTAATAGGACCCACCAACATTGAGCTACTGCAGTGATTCTCAAACTGTGCGCCGCGGCGCCCCGGGGAGCCGCGACCTCTTCACATGGGAGCCGCGAAATATTCGAAGATACACGTTTGTTTGTGTGTACCTCTAACATATTAATAGTCATACTTTTACTTAGATTAGGGCGCCGGAAAAAAAACATTTTTATTTCTTCTTCTTCTTCTTCTTCTTCTTCGCGTTCACCAGCTGTAAACTCTGGCGGAAGGTTCTGGTTGCTCGTCCACTACTGAACTGCAGTCCTGCTCCAGAACCTGAGTGTTGCGTGTGCATCAGTTTTACAGATCTCATTCTCTTGCATACAGACTGTTGGTTCCTTGCCTCTCCGGCAGATGCACTCCGACTTCAAAGGAAGCTCCCCAATCAGTCGACTCTTACGACATGCTTTTTGGGAGGCAGTGGGTCTATTCTTGTTTTCCTCACAATGGGGCCCCGGAACCCATACGGGGGACATTTTTATTGAAAAAAGGCGCCGCGACTAATAAACGTTTGAGAAACATTGGGCTAGAGGATACTTCGTACCAGTTTTCTGGTGCCCCAATTTAACTTTTTTGTTCACCTGTTGCAAGCTATGGTGGAAGGTACTGGTTATTTATCTATTTGGCATTTGGCTCATGTCACAGAGTTTTGCGTGTACATCCGTTCTACTGGCTTACTTGTGTGCAGTTGTTTGTTTCTCGCCGCTTGGGGACATGCACTCCCACTTCAAGGGAAGCCCCACTTAGTCGACTCTTACAACATGCATTCTGGGGAGCGAGTGGGTCGATTCTTGTTTCCCCCACTATGGGGTCATGGAACCCACACGGGGATGTCTGTGTAAAATTTGTGTAAACAGCTTACATTTTTAATCTGTCTCAAAGAGGACTGTTTTATTTGATTTGTATAATAATAATAATAATAATAATAATAATAATAATAATAATAATAATAATAATAATAATAATAATAACCATTGTTATTATTAGCGACACACCTATAAATATTGGGTTATAGTGACGTTTTCCGGCCCAGAAATAAAGCGACTTCCCTTGCCATTTATGCCTCGCCGAGTCGCAGGGCCTGTCCTATGTGGCAGTGGGTATCACGCTTAGTGACCGGCCAGCAACACATAGTATGTTACTCGATGTTGTCACCCGCCGATGGTGTCGCGTTTTCTATATTCCCCGATGTGAGCGCCTTTAGCGGTCCCAAAACATGAAGAACTGGCCCTAACCCAAACCTCCCTACCCCACAGCCTTAGCCTACGTTCTAGGCCTGAAGCCTAGGTCGCACGACTGTAAGCAGCGTATTTTATAGACTGCACTATTTCGTGGAATACAGAACACACGATATGGACAGCCGCTGACAACAGCGAGTAAAATGCTACGTTTTGCTGGCCGGTCACGAAACGTGAGTGACATCCGCGCAATATATGTCAGGCCCTGCGACACGAAGAGTCATGAATGGCAAGGGAAGTCACTCTCTTTCTGGGCGGGAAAACTTACAAACACAAAATATTGATACGAATATTTCAGCCTGGGGTCTGTAAAACCTGACACACTGAGTCCCTACACTCTGGAAGTACACAACGTGCTGACAGAGGCCACCGACTTACGTAACCAATCAGCTTACCTCCGCCGTGACATTAGATGCACCATCGATCGCATTGATACGCTGAAACAGACAGCCCACAACAAAGTCAACCAGGGACTCACACAGAAAGTTGCAGAGACTGTTACCTTGAAGGTATCCTCGTTTTTTTTAATCTGTTGTTATTCCGGTCAGTGTTGCCACTTTTCTTTGACAAAAAATATGTAAAACGGAGTCAAACAATATCTAAAAACATCTTAATTTGCGCGAAAAAGATCTAGAAAAAACATCCAAATGGAAAGAGTCACAAACTACATAGCAATTGATATGACTTACCATATAGAATCATGTCCTCATATTTACTGAAGTCTCTCTTACAAGATCCACAGGATAAACTTAGCCTGGATGATGAAGCTGAAGCTTCAGATCCAAAATGACTCTGGCATGCTTTAGCTGTTCCAGTTTCTTTCAATACCCAATCATGGAGCGGATAAGTGGAACAGCCTTTTCCTACTCTTATCAAGCCGAATTTTATTGTCAAGATAGCATTTAAGAGGTCAAATTCCGTCCTGTTTCTTAGGTTAGATTTGATAAATTTACTCCAAATGAAAATCATCTAGAAAAACATCTACCATCTAAACGTCAAAAACGCTATCCATTCTGGCTGTTACCAGCCTTACACTTGGGCTCTACCAATACTTTGTATAAAAATCACCTTTACTGTCTCTATTTGATAGCGGACAGTAAGAGAGAAGCACTGTGTTACTAGACTCATGTTTTTACCTCATCTCATATTTGATCAATCAATCCATCCATCTACGATACCATTCATCCACTAATACAGTCATCCATCATTCCATCCATTCATCTACCCACCCATCCATCCATCTACCATTCCATTCATCCACTAATACAGTCATCCACCATTCCATCCATTCATCTACCCACCCATCTATCCAGGACACACTCGCCTATCCACACCACCATCCACACATGCTGTTTTACCATCTATCCCTTCATCGCTCCCTTACACTCTGGTTGTTACCAGTCTTACTCTCGGGCTCGACTGATTACTTTTGTATAACAAGCATCCTTACTGTCTCTATTTGATAGCTGACAGTAAGAGAGAAGCATTTATCTATCTATCTATATCTATCTATCTATCTATCTATCTATCTATCTATCTATCTATCTATCTATCTATCTATCTATCTATCTATCTATCTATCTATCTATCTATCTATCTATCTATCTATCTATCTATCTATCTATCTATCTATCTATCTATCTATCTATCTATCTATCTATCTATCTATCTATCTATCTATCTATCTATCTATCTATCTATCTATCTATCTATCTATCTATCTATCTATCTATCTATCTATCTATCTATCTATCTATCTATCTATCTATCTATCTATCTATCTATCTATCTATCTATCTATCTATCTATCTATCTATCTATCTATCTATCTATCTATCTATCTATCTATCTATCTATCTATCTATCTATCTATCTATCTATCTATCTATCTATCTATCTATCTATCTATCTATCTATCTATCTATCTATCTATCTATCTATCTATCTATCTATTTACCTATCTACCTACCTACCTACCTACCTACCTACCTACCTACCTACCTACCTACCTACCTACCTACCTACCTACCTACCTACCTACCTACCTACCTACCTACCTACCTACCTACCTACCTACCTACCTACCTACCTACCTACCTACCTACCTACCTACCTACCTACCTACCTACCTACCTACCTACCTACCTACCTACCTACCTACCTACCTACCTACCTACCTACCTACCTACCTACCTACCTACCTACCTACCTACCTACCTACCTACCTACCTATCTATCTATCTATCTATCTATCTATCTATCTATCTATCTATCTATCTATCTATCTATCTATCTATCTATCTATCTATCTATCTATCTATCTATCTATCTATCTATCTATCTATCTATCTATCTATCTATCTATCTATCTATCTATCTATCTATCTATCTATCTATCTATCTATCTATCTATCTATCTATCTATCTATCTATCTATCTATCTATCTATCTATCTATCTATCTATCTATCTATCTATCTATCTATCTATCTATCTATCTATCTATCTATCTATCTATCTCTCTCTATCTATCTATCTATCTATCTATCTATCTATCTATCTATCTCTATCTATCTATCTATCTATCTATCTATCTATCTATCTATCTATCTATCTATCTATCTATCTATCTATCTATCTATATCTATCTATCTATCTATCTATCTATCTATCTATCTATCTATCTATCTATCTATCTATCTATCTATCTATCTATCTATCTATCTATCTATCTGTCTGTCTGTCTGTCTGTCTGTCTGTCTGTCTGTCTGTCTGTCTGTCTGTCTGTCTGTCTGTCTGTCTGTCTGTCTGTCTGTCTGTCGATATTTGTTTGCAAGCACAGGCACCACTTTTATATTATGCGGATGGACTAAGGTCATCCCCATAACCCAACCCCGGTTACGCCCTATAGGCCAACCCCTCCCTCCCTCCTTAGACACTTAGTGTACGCTGTTGGCGTCCAGCCCGTCCCTTTTTTTTGCCCCTATCTGCGCGTTGGAGGTATATAGGCTGAACGTCGTCTCATTTGTAGGAAGTTTTTTCGCCAGGGACACTAGATGAGTATCGTTAATTTTATACATTAGAGTCCTATGTAGTCACTTCATAGTTAGAGCCTATTTGTGTATGTGTACTGTGTTGTCCTTTGTGTGCTGATGAAGGCTAATCGCCGCAACGTCCTTTGTCTGTTTATTGTGATCGATTTTGTAAAGCTAACATAAACTAATTGTTGTTTCTTACCTACTTTTTCTCTTCCCTATAATTTTCTACTCCTTATAAAAACTATCTAAATGCAAGGGAAAACATCTAAATCCGGATGTAAAACATCCAAAGTGGCAACACTGATTCCGGTTCCTACTTTTACTTCTGCTTTTTATTCCCCCAAACGGAACTTCCAGCCAATTCATACCGTTGAAACATCCGTTGCTATCGGATGTAGCTTACCACATGTTGTTGCTATTTGTTGTTGTTGTTGTTGTTGTTGTTCACTTCACTTTCCTTCTATTGCTTGGACCCTACGGGTTCCAAGACAAAAGACATTCTTCTTCGTCTTCTTAGCGTTCACTGGATGTAAACTCCAGCGGAATGTTCGGGTTGTTCATCCACTTTTGGACTTTAGTCTTGTTCCATATTTTGAGTTTTGTATGCATATCCGTTTTAAACATCTAATTTATTTTTATGCAGACTGTTGGTTTCACGCCTTTCAGGCAGAGGTACTCTGACTTCGAAAGAAACACCCACGCTGAACAGATCTTGCGTGTGGTTGTGTGCACCAACGCAAACTCCAGAGCATGTCTTACGTGATAGCGCGGATTCCGACTATCAGAGAAGAAATCTGGACTGTCCTCTGAATAACGGGCACATATTAAGGCGGCCGCAAAAAAAAAACCCAACCTAACAGAGCCTCAGTCACGTGTCAATTGCGAACTTCCGGCGACTACCGCCACCGCCAAGAGTATCCGTGGGTTGGGGCTAAACTAGATGGCTGGGACTCACGAGCAGCAGCTTCCGCATCTCCTGCAGCTTTGCTTGTGAGTTCAGCCATCTAGTCTGTCTGTCTGTCTGTCTGTCGATATTTGTTTGCAAGCACAGGCACCACTTTTATATTATGCGGATGGACTAAGGTCATCCCCACAACCCAACCCCGGTTACGCCCTATAGGCCAACCCCTCCCTCCCTCCTTAGACACTTAGTGTACGCTGTTGGCGTCCAGCCCGTCCCTTTTTTTGCCCCTATCTGCGCGTTGGAGGTATATAGGCTGAACGTCGTCTCATTTGAAGGAAGTTTTTTCGCCAGGGACACTAGATGAGTATCGTTAATTTTATACATTAGAGTCCTATGTAGTCACTTCATAGTTAGAGCCTATTTGTGTATGTGTACTGTGTTGTCCTTTGTGTGCTGATGAAGGCTAATCGCCGCAACGTCCTTTGTCTGTTTATTGTGATCGATTTTGTAAAGCTAACATAAACTAATTGTTGTTTCTTACCTACTTTTTCTCTTCCCTATAATTTTCTACTCCTTATAAAAACTATCTAAATGCAAGGGAAAACATCTAAATCCGGATGTAAAACATCCAAAGTGGCAACACTGATTCCGGTTCCTACTTTTACTTCTGCTTTTTATTCCCCCAAACGGAACTTCCAGCCAATTCATACCGTTGAAACATCCGTTGCTATCGGATGTAGCTTACCACATGTTGTTGCTATTTGTTGTTGTTGTTGTTGTTGTTGTTCACTTCACTTTCCTTCTATTGCTTGGACCCTACGGGTTCCAAGACAAAAGACATTCTTCTTCGTCTTCTTAGCGTTCACTGGATGTAAACTCCAGCGGAATGTTCGGGTTGTTCATCCACTTTTGGACTTTAGTCTTGTTCCATATTTTGAGTTTTGTATGCATATCCGTTTTTAAACATCTAATTTATTTTTATGCAGACTGTTGGTTTCACGCCTTTCAGGCAGAGGTACTCTGACTTCGAAAGAAACACCCACGCTGAACAGATCTTGCGTGTGGTTTGTGTGCACCAACGCAAACTCCAGAGCATGTCTTACGTGATAGCGCGGATTCCGACTATCAGAGAAGAAATCTGGACTGTCCTCTGAATAACGGGCACATATTAAGGCGGCCGCAAAAAAAAAACCCAACCTAACAGAGCCTCAGTCACGTGTCAATTGCGAACTTCCGGCGACTACCGCCACCGCCAAGAGTATCCGTGGGTTGGGGCTAAACTAGATGGCTGGGACTCACGAGCAGCAGCTTCCGCATCTCCTGCAGCTTTGCTTGTGAGTTCAGCCATCTAGTTTACCCCCGCATAAGCGGCGTGGCGGATACTCTCGGCGGTGGCGGTAGTCGCCGGAAGTTGCAAATCAAGTCGTCGAAAGTTCGCAATTGACACGTAACTGAGGCCCTGTTCCTAGGTCGCCATATTATGTGCCTGTTATTCAGAGGATAGCCAAAATCTGATCCACAGAAGAAGCGACCATACAAGGCAAGCTATGAGGCACCTATGAAGACCTACACCTTGGAACAGACACAAAGCAACTGTTGATCGATGCAGAAGAAAAACAAATGACTCAGTACTTGTAGCCTAATTATTTTCTGTCCCACTATTATGTTATATTAATCAACAATGTCCAAAATGTTACTTTAACTCTTTTTCACATGGTTGGTTTATTCTGACTCAGTAAGATTTATGAGTTGCTCCTCCAGCCCAGTGATTACCTGTTAGCTGAACAACGTATTCTTCTTCAGCATTCCAAGCCCTTGAGGTTCACTGCTGCAGAAAACACCCGCCTTCACTCATCTCTCTTGTTGGCCTTCTCCCTCCAGTTAGTGACACCAAGTGTTTGAAGGTCTTCACATTATCTCTTTATCGTCTTTTTGGTCGGCCTCGTGGTCTACAACCATTCATCTCCCTTGTGTATACAGTTTTTACCTCTCTGTCATGTGACATTCTTTCAATATGCCCCAGCCATTTCAGTCAATTAGGTCCACGATGGCAGTGTTCTCACTCTCCATTCCCAGCTGTTTGCCTCTTTAATATGTCCAAAGCTTCGTCGTAACGCTCTGTTTTGGAAAATTTGTAACAAGGCCTCATTTTTTTAAGTTGTGCTCCAAGTTTCAGAGCCATATAATACAACTGGTCTTATCAACGTTTTATATATATATATTTATTCTGGTGTTGCGAAGAAAACAAAAACCTATTTTAATTGATAAATATTAGAATCGCAAAAAGTTGCATTCCAAAGTTGGGAGTTGGAGGACTATTAAATTTGTTCCTCATGCCACCGTCAGTCAGCGGGACCACTAAATGGAAACGATTATTCTAACGTACGTCTGCTGTGGAATAGACGGTATTAACGTTATAGTGGAAAGTTCATGAGACTGAAAGTTCAGCGCGTGTAGACTCAGGGGTCTAGGAAAGCCAGCCTGGAGAACAAATTCCCTATGAAGTCATATGTATCTGTCCAAAAGCGTAACTATCGCATTTATGCTGTAAACATGCACAGCACAATGATGCTACTGGGACGAACCACGAAAAAGATAAAGACGCGGGGGGGGGGGGGGGGGTGTGATTCAATTATATCCTCCCCAATACGGAACAAATGTTTTGTTATTTTAAAGCCCCGCCCTGGCTGTGGTCGGGGGTTCTAACCTAACGGTTGAAAGGGGTTTCAGGGACTTGTGCTCGGGTGATCCTCGTCCGAACTTTGTGTCACCGGGTGTTTTATCGCTCGTGTGCGGTTCTGGTGGGGTTGACCGTCACTTACCTAGGGATGACCAACGTGTATATGGTTGGCCACCACTGGGAGATTATCTATGGCTTTCTACAAAGACTATAAGCGGTAATTGTCTGTGTGTACGTCCGTCCGTCCGCCCGCCCTTCCGCCCGCCCGTCTGTCTGTCTGTCTGTCGTATTTCATGTACTGCAAGAACTTACTAACTCGACAGCCTCTATTGTCAGCAATACCTCAACTTGGGTCTGGGTGAGACCCGGCATGCCTTGCACCGAGCCCAGCGTTGGTACGATGCAACAGAGAAGGCACATGGCTACACGCTGGTAAGTGACACCATGCGTCGGTTTAGTTTACTACACAAACCTACATGCATTATATGAAGGTTTACGGTATTTACAGGCAAGATCGACTTCATTGAGTTGAACTTTATCTGATGTGGTTGGATCTCCTTTCTCAGCGTAGATGTTCGCCAGCCCAGAGCGAGGTACAAAGCGCGAACTGTGTAGCTTCATCGACTACTTCGGAGTCAACGCAAAACCTTCATATAAGTACTGAACGACCGACGGAGTCTACTGCGCAGAAGCGGTGAAAAACTAATTATTAATTAACTATCCTGAGGTGCCATTTTATGTCCCACAGGGTTCACGGTTTATCCCCCCAGTCCGTTGTAACCTCTGCAATCAGCTCAATTTTATGGATGGCAGCTCTGGCATCTCTCTCATCAATGTTCGTCTTATGGTATCTTTTGGGCGTCCTCGCCTCCCTAGTTCCGCTGTTTCCTATTTTAATGCCTGTTTGGTGATCGTGTGCTGGTTTCTTTTCAGGATGTGTCCAATGTAGCGCCATCTCATCTGTCTTATAACTGTTCTTCTCAGCGTGTGTCCAATGTAGCGCCATCTTCTCTGTCTTATGTTCTTCTCAGGGTGTGTCCAATGTAGTGCCATCTCATCTGTCTTATAACTGTTCTTCTCAAGATGTGTCCAATGTAGTGCCATCTCATCTGACTTATAACTGTTCTTCTCAAGATGTGTCCAATGTAGTGCCATCTCATCTGACTTATAACTGTTCTTCTCAAGATGTGTAAGAATAAACTCACAGGGAGCAAGTACAGCGGGGATCTACAGTCATCAGTAGAAATTATCCTCTTTCGACACACGTTTCGGCCCACGATTCCTAAACGTATTCGGAGGTGGGCCCACCTGAGTTCATGAAGCTCAGGGCTGCTTCCCCGCTGCACAGAATTACCGGATGGTGTTATTATTTCGGCCAGAGACAAGACGACTTAGTGGTTTCGAAGGAGGTACTGTGAGATAAGAAGTCGCCGCGACAGCGTAATTAGAACAGTCCGCCTGCCTGGACGACCGAGCGACAAGCTTACTTTGGTTTACCGGACACATGTTGGACTTTTATTAGCAGTTGGCAGAGGGACACTGGCAGACAATTCGTACGCGATGGACTTTTCAAAGGGATGAGAAACTCTTTTCCACTAGATACCCGGACCAGCTCACCGAGGCCCGTCCCCTACGTTGTTGCGCTGCGTCCAAAGCCAGCTAGAGGCCCTTTCGGCCACCTCTCCCAGTTTTTTGAGTGTTCGTTTCCGTTCATTACCTCGCAATCCTAGTTCTTTTACCACATTGTAGAGCGAAGTGGAAACGAGGCCTCTCGCTCCCACTTCGACGGCAAAAACCCGTACTGTGTAAGCCTCGTTTCTCCTCAAACCGGCTGCTAAATCACTGTACTTCTCGAGCTTGTACAAATGATTCTCCTCCATACGCGACTCAAACGGGACCGTCAGCTCAATCAGGATGAGCTGCCGTTTTTGCGCAGAATGGAGAACGATGTCCGGTCGCAGGCCGGTTTTACGGATCAACTCGGGATACCGTTCATGTCCTGGCAGATCAACCGCCAGTAGCCAGTCCCTCGCAGAGTCTAGCACGGATGGAGCGAATGCGTTTTGGTTGACCTTACCTTTTGGAACCTGCCCAGCCTTGAGGAAACGAATGGGGGCGATATTAGAACTGGCTCTGGCATTAGCCCTCATTCTAGCCTGGTCGACAACGGCTGCTAACTCCTTTAGCACCTTGTTGTGGCGCCAGGTATATCGGCCTTGACCTAGAGCTTTCCTGCACGCGGACAGGACGTGCTCAAGAGTTTGCTTTGATTTGCACAACGGGCAAGTCGGATCGTTGGTGTAAAATGTAGTGCCATCACATCTGACTTATAGTTGTTGATATGTGGAAATATTTATATAAAGTAACAAAAATGAACTGCCTTTATAACAATTACCCAAACTATCAAACATTACTTTGGAGTTCGTTAGCTGCAGCCGTCGGCGTCTGTGGCTTAGGCGCTGCGAACGAGCTTCGTAATGCCAAGGCGCTGGGTTCGATCCCAGCTGTCGACGGTTTGTCGTGCGTTGGTTTCGACAGTGGTACCGAGAACTCACCGTTTAGATAGAAATGGCAAACTACATAACGTACAATTTGCCTAGAAAACCACAACAGCCAAAAATGCTAGAGTTGGTTCTGCAACGTCATGGAAAGGATACGCAACTAACTTTAGCTGTAGTCATCTGCTTTCTGTTGCTGGATTGATACATCAATGTGAGTATACTACAACCACCAGGGACCTGTCTGCTACTCGGATCTCACGACCAGAGAGCACCTCGACCGACCTCTGGTGACGGTCTACCAGAGGCACACAGGGACACAACTTCCTGAGGCTCAAGTGCTTGTCAAGGTAAGGGCGAGTTATCTCATAATGCCAGCTTAAAAATGACGATTATCTCCTCATCATTTGCCACCTTCTCAATTGTCTGTGTGTACTGACTGAAAGACCTCCTCCTCCCTCCTCCGCCGCCGGTTCCTCCTCCTCCTTCTTCTTCTTCTTCTTCTTCTTCTTCTTCTTCTTCTTCTTCTTCTTCTTCTTCTTCTTCTTCTTCTTCTTCTTCTTCTTCTTCTTCTTCTTCTTCTTCTTCTTCTTCTTCTTCTTCTTCTTCTTCTTCTTCTTCTTCTTTTCCTTAAAGAAGTTAAAAAAACAAAAAGATTATTGTCAAACCTTATAGTGTATCAGGCTTGTGGTTGTAGATCCATATTTCTATAGATCAGTGGGTACTCTATATGCAGTACGGTCGGTATAGCTATCTTTACTTCCCAGAAATTCATAGCATCCATTTTAAGCTAGGTAGACAAATGAGCCACATTAGCGTAATAAATGAATGAATCAATCAATCAATCAAGAATTAACATCCTAGCGCTCGGGACATTCCCACACGTGCTCCGTCTCCTTCCTCGGTAGCTAACGAAGAGTCCACATGCTAGCAGTAGCAGTGTTCCAGCCTGATTAAACGACCGCATATGTTTTCCACTCAAGTGTTGAAAATCTTCCAGCCCTTCGCTCATCCCCGCTGAATTAGTTTGTCAATGTATTGATGCTCGGTCTGGTAATCTGGTAATCTTAGTTTCAGCTTCATAGCAAACGCGTCACCCAATAGTTGCTCCGCTCCTGTGCCAACTAAAAACACACAGAAAGTTAATCACAGTCCCTTGTGGAAAGATTGACAGACTACTGTCTGAGCATATCTAGCATACACACACATTAAAAGCATACGGTAGCCATCCGAAGTGCCAACACCAACAGTTCGACATTAGAAATGCAGTTCATCGTGGACGGTAGCAGAAGTCACTAAAAGATCAGCAGTTGCACAAGCGATCACTTTCAATCACACAATGGCACCACTAATATTGCGACAACAGGCATCGCGCCATTTCTGAATCTACAGTTCACAACACCAAGCGAAAAACATTCCAAATGAAATCCATAGCTCTTAGCGGCACGCCATGCACTCAACTCAGAAGCTGGACGACGAAACTATATCCCTTCAGTCTACAAATTTAGCAAAAATGCAACGGCCACCGTCTGGCAGAAGCCAAAAATTTGCCACAGCTCTAAACAGTGGACGTACCTAGCGTCCATTTTGACCGGAAGTAGTGAAGTTTTATTACCGGTCACACCAGTGATGCTATCGTCCTGGTGAAGGGGTCAGGGGCGTAACGCCCATCAGCAGGGTGTCGCCCCTATACGACCTGACTGCCTTCGTTAAAGATTGTGCACCCCACAACCATGCAGTTCTTTGGCACGAAGGAGACACCTTAAACTTAGGTTCTGGACTATCGACTCTCTACATGCTCACACGCATGTGTTAATGGTGTACAAAAGTTATCATGTTTCTCTCATATACCATTAGCCTTATGTTCCAGCATACATTTTTAATTAAATACTATTATCATGCATATATGCATACATACACTTTAACATACTAATAATAGTTGTGATAACAATTAATAATAATTAGCAATTCGCAAGCACTCAGACATCAGATTTGAGAGGGAAAGGGAGGTACATCTACACATTAAAGGAAAAACTGAGAGAGATAAAGAAGAGGAGGAGGAAGAGAGAGATCGATCACTAAATGACTAATTCCTCCAGGAAGAAAATGTTTATCAATGCTTCTGTACAGTAATCCACGCGTATTCGGTGTAGGGCATCAAAGGGTCAATGTTTTTATCTCGAGGCCCTGAACAGATGCCGCCTCGCACAGAAAATGTAAGAGACAAGTCCGAACGTCGTTGACTCTCGGTGTGTCCTGTTGCACTGGCCACTTGATCCCAGAGAGCCGTTACCGCGTCCGATTTGTCATAAAGTAGCTCACCAATCAGAGGAACCGCAGCATCCAATCCATCAGTCGGCTTATTACCATGCACACCTGAATATCAGTTTAAAAAAAAAAAAACTAAATGTGGAGTCAGCTGCGTCCAGATGTGATGGCCATTTTCTAGCCGCAGAGAGCGAAGTGACAAGGTAGGAAGGATGTGAGGTCAGCTGCCGATGGTAGCATATGAAAGGGCACGCTCATCTTGAGCTATTTCTGTTAGTCCTGGCAACTGAATCACGGTACATTTTGGCTCCTCGAAAATAGGTTACTTTAAGCGTTTCCAATGTTGCATTGTGTGACAATATAATATGCTTACAAACTTCTGTGTTCTGATTGTATTCGTATTACAAATCGACAAGCGGATATTGTAAAGTAGATAAACAAGATTTTCATACTTTGTTGTTAGATTACAGCAATTTTAATTTCATTTCAAGGGAGACAGCCGTGTTGTGATGTGTGTGTTACTGTTTCTAGTCAGTAGTTCGGAGTTTGGGGAACTGGCTGTTTATTACTTTTTTACTTTAAATGTAGAAATCTTACTTTTAGGGAAAATACAAACAGGTAATTTAGAAGCCATATCTGGAGAATATCGACAGTTGTCAGGTGCAAACTATCTTGTGTTGGAAGAAAGTTATTGCTTTCATATTGACTGTGCATAAATGGTGCAACCACACTGTGGATAAATTGTGTCAAGATATTTCGGAGCTCTAGGTAAGTGGGTGAAAATAATATTCAATTTACTAACAAACCTCTCACAGCAAGTTACTCTTTGCCTCTTTACTAATTGTTGACTAACAATATATGTTGTGGCAGTACACTAATAATAATAATTCTTAACCATTTGACTTATGCTTCGCGAACACTGGCTGTAAACTCTTGCGGAAACTTCTGGTTGCTCATCGACTTCTTATACATATTTGCAATTGTAGGGTCTGTGTTAATTTTTGTAAACTGGCTTTTGCTTTGCTTCGTAAACACTGGCTGTAAACTCTTGCGGAAACTTCTGGTAGTTCATCCACTTCTTTTCCATATTTGCAGTTATATGGTCTGTGTTAATTTTTGTAAACTGGCTTTTGCTTTGCTTCGCGAACATTGGCTGTAAACTCTTGCGGAAACTTCTGGTTGTTCATCCCCTTCTTATGTACATTTGTTACCAAAAAATTCACAATGATAAGGAATTGATTTCATCCAACAAGATTAAACTGGACAAATTTGTTTGTGCTGTTTGTACCTTGAGGATACATATTTAGTAGTGCTATAAGTGCTGTTAAGAAAACTACTCTGGGTGAAAAAAGTATTGCACATATCAATTTCACACTGATTATGCTTGTTTACTAATTATTAAATAACAGTATAATTATTTGTTGTAGTAGTCTACTAATAATAATAATAACCATCAATCATTTATATTTATGTTATGTATGACATGTGTATGTTTCATAACAGTATTATTATGCGCTAAATTTGATAAAGTACAAATGTCACCCTTCCCCTCCCCACCCACTCCCCCCACCCCCACCCCTCGCTCCTCTGATGCAACAATACCCTCTCAGAATCAAAAGAGTTAGCACTGATATTTTTTTACTTTTGCTGGAACAACTTTTAGTTTACATCTAAACGTTATTGATGTTTATGTTCATGTTGACTGTAGCAAAAAGCATTTTTTTTTTTGGGTCTGTAAGAGCCCTTATTGTTATATTTAATTGGCACACTTATTTACCTTAAAAATGACGTATAGTTCTAAAAAAATATGTCGAAAATTAATAAAACTGTAGTTTAATTTGTGTATACATCTCCTCAATAAAAACTGTGGACACAAAGGGACTCAATTCTTGCACAAGAACGGGAATTCCCGTTTGAGCTGTGCCGCCTTATAAATCTGGAGCTGGCCGTGTGAAAGGGCTACATAGTGTGAGCTGCTTGTGCGGATCTATGCTTCATTGAGTGGGGGTGGGGGCAGATAAAGGGCAGATAACTGTTTACAGATTTAGGAACTCTCATCATAGCACATCGATCATACTCAGGGATGCTCCGTCTCCCACTGCATATGTCTTAAGGTATAGATGCTAACTGCTCCCCTAGCGAAAAAGTCGTTTTCTTCTGTTTATACTTTGCCGGGTCCAATTCTAATTCCAAAAGAACTGACGACAGGAGAGATGAAGCTGTATTATTGAGTTAGGGACGCTAAGAAAACCATGACCTACATTAGAACCTACTTATTTGCGAATATACTGGGTGGAAAAGAATAATATTGCGAATATACGAGGGGGACATGAATAATATTGTGAATATCCTGGGTGGACAAGAAAAATATTGCTAATATACTGGATGGACACGAATAATATTGCTAATATTATGGACAAGAAGAATATTGAGAATATACTGGGTGGACAGAAGAAAACTGCGAAATCCTGCGTGGACAACTATAATATTGCGAATATACTCGGTGGACAAAAAATAGTATTGTGAATATCCTGGGTCGACAAAAAGAATAGTGCAAGTCAGTCCCCCCCCCCCCCCCACTCCCTCTTTTTTTTCCTCACCACCACTAGCATTGCTCGCCACCAGGTGTCGCTGAAAAGGAATCTTGCAATGTTGATGCGATTCCGATTCCGATTCCTAGACTGCTTCTAGCTAGCCGAGGCTGCTAACAGTCTCCGCCTATATTTGTGGTCTGGGTTATTTGCGTCACTTTCGTGACTAAAGTCTAGTATTTGCGCCGTTTCTGGGCTTAATGCTTCCTTCCGATTCAGACCGCTCGTCCTCCACTCTGTGGTTAGCTGTGCATGTCTTTCCTTTTATTACTTGGATTGATGCGATCTGATTGACTGACTTTCTACCCCACCAGGACATCACAAAAGCGATAAACACCCGATGACACAATGTTCCACCATGTGGGTGAGGATCACCGTGGAGAGGTCCCAGAAACCGCGTTCAGCGTTTAGGCTATATGTATGCCCAGGCTATATTGCGGCCCCTGGCAAGAACCAGAGTAGGGCTTCAAATAACGAAAAATTGCATCCTAATAAGGACGGGAATTTGTAGCTAATTAATGCGATGAACTGAAATGAACTGAATTTCTACCCCACCAGGACATCACACAAGCGATAAACACCCGATGAAACAAAGTGCCACCATGTGGATGAGGATCGCCGTGGAGAGGTCCCAGAAACCGCGTTCAGACATTTGGCCATATATATGGCCTGCCTATATTGCGGCCCCTGGCAAAAGCCAGAGTAGGGCTTCAAATGACAAAAAATTTCGTCCTAAAAAGGACGAAATTGGATATATTATATGATTAATGCGATCAAAGGAGACAGCCCCAAATACTATCCCAACCAACCAATGGGCGACCCGGTCGCCAGTTAGGGGCGGAGTTTTTAGACACATTAGTAAGTGAACGACCCTTTTTGTTTCGTTAGCTCATCGAGGACGTGATGATTGTAGACCAATCGGCACTCAGGGAGCCATGAAGAGCCAATTTTGAAGAAGAAAATCGCCTCGATGTTGGTTCTTCTTCCTTTACTTTTTAGCGTTCACAGTCTGTTAACTCCTCTAGTTGTTCGTCCATTTGTGGATTTTGGTCTTGTTACAAAATTTGAGTTGTGCGTGCACATCCGTTACACAGATCTGGCTTATCTGTACGCAGATTGTCGGTTCCCCTTCTCTCAGGCAGATGTACTCAGACTTCGAAGGAAACACACTTCTAATTAATTGCCTTCTACGACATACTTGTGGAAAGATGGGGGGAGGGGGGGTGTTCTTGTTTTCCCTTTAACGGTCACAGAATCCACACTGGAAAATGCGGAATTGAACCCAACACTTTCAAGCCGATATGCGAGTATCTAGACACTACGCTACACCGGCTCCCTTACCTGTCTGATTGTGTGTACTGACGAGTGTAAATGATTTGTTGTAACTCTTACCATCTATAGGCAGGCACCAGTCTAAACCAGTCCCTTGTGACCACCAGTAAAAATATCGGTTTGTTGAAGATTGCCAGGAAGAAGCTGGGAGAGGACAAACGAAGCAAACGTGCCGCCATAGAAGTGGACAGTAGCGTCATACACATGCGCCGACGGAAGGCCGACCATCGGTGGTGTCTGGGGACTGCATTTTGACTTTTGTTTCTGCGTGTTTTCTCCAGAAATGTAGCATCAACTTTTGTTCCGCCTATACTGCTATCAACGCTGCTGCTATTTTTTCTTCTTCTTCCTTCTCCTTTTTCTTCTACAATTCATCCGTTCATCTTCCTTCCTAGCTACCTAAGAAAAACCACACATCCGTCCACCAATCCATTTATGTACCTACCTATACATGGGAGAACCCCTCATCTATCCATCTACAGAATAACCTAGGGAAATCTCGCATCCTTCGAACCACTCATCCATAGATCTGCTCTATCTTATCAAACCAGAAGTTCTGACTTTCATCTCTGCAAACCCAGGATGGACGCCACTTCAACTCCTTCAGTCTCAACAGATAGTCTAAACGAGGTAAAGTAACAGCATGGTAAGGAGAATTGGAATCGAGAAATTTGACAAGGAGGGTTAACATAACTAGACAAATGTATGTAGAGCTCATCAACTCTTGGCTGGCTGCTTGGCGCCGGAAGTCGAAACATCGAAAAGGACATTTGATCACTCGTTTTCTTGTTCGTCACTTCCTCCTCCACCGCTTCCGGTGTCGATGGAGATGTAAGGTTCTGCTTCTTACCGCCTCGACCACAGACATATCGGTGCTGTTGTTGTAGAGTTTCTCTGATGCTGTCTTTCCATCTTGTTCTTGGTCTACATCGGGCTCTATGTCATTCTTCAAGTTCTGTGTACTCTGGTATGGTGTGGCGTCACATGGCATTCTCTCCAAGTGACCAAACCATTGAATTTGCTGTCTTTATGATTTTTAATCGCTTTTTGTGTGCCGACTTTTCTCCTATAAACTCACTCCTGATTTTATCTGGCTGCCAGGTCGACCCAGCCTAAGTGGGTACCGGGTGCAGTCCCGGGAAGTAAAGGCGGACGGCTTGATGCTGACCACATCAACCATCTTGTACCGATTAGTCTATTAAAAATATAAGTCTAGCCCTATATAAAAAATACGCCTAAAGGCGTGGAAAAAAAGGAGGGAGGGCGGGTCTGATTTTATCTCTTCTAGTCACTTCTGCAACCCTTCCAAGACTCTCATTTTCATTACGACTGATTTGTCTTTCCTGGTTTGTTTTGAGGGGCCGTGTCTGGCACTCGGTAGCATAGCATAGGTATGAATATGATCATTAGATCATTATCACGTCAAAAGGGGATGTTTGAGACGAGTTGAGCCTTTTTCAGCAACCGCAATTCACGATTTAATCCCCTATAGGCCATAAACTAGGATATCTGTCCGGGTTGTTTCCCCAGAGTTGTCAGGTCTATTGTGTGTGACCCTGTGTTGCTTCCCAGCTCCTCCAGCAGATAACAGTCTTAAATGACATGTTCTAGGGGCTGCTCGGCACAAGGTCGCTATTTGGCTTATATATAATTGATATGAGCGTTAGCTGAGTCTGGCATTTCCAGAACAGCTGTAAGCTGGGTAATAGGATCAAGAACAGACGAGACAGTCCGCGTAAAATGCAAAGACATTTTTTTTTATATTTATTTTTTTTTAGACTGACGTATACACAAAACGAAATATATATGTGTATGTGATCGTGCGCGTTTGTATAAATGTGTGAGCGTGCAGTCTAGTGTGAGAAGGATATCTTGTACGTGTGTGTGTATTGTTCCTGCTTGGTTGTCATGGCAGTATACCCTGCAGCAATAAACTGTTTTGTATACAATACCTATTATCGAGTTTTTCTGTGACCGGTCTGTGCATTAGTGTTGTGTGCTAAACTACTTTGCTGTTCAATTATACCAGAGACGTGATTGCCTACGCTAGTTGTAAAGGCGCTAGATGATGATGCTGACAGAGACGAGTGCAAAAAGTCCACGCTACTTGACGCGTGAGACGAGTGTTTCTTGAAATATCAAAAAAAGATATAAAACTGAATGCAAAGTATATAAAGGGGTCTCCACGGATATCCTGAGACCCAAGCGTGACCGGGGCCTCTGAAGAGGGAACCCGTATCTGTCCACGTGAGTGCCTCTCAGTAAGTCTTAGTGTGAGGAGGTGTTTGTGCATGAGTTGTTCCAGTCCAGTCTGTTTTAACGAGGTGTTTTTATTCTGTTGGAGCTTCTGTGAATTGTCTAATGGGTTTGGTGGATCGTGAGTTAGACTTAGGAATTCTACACTAGGGTGTTATTTAACCAAAATACTGACTAGAGTAGACTTATTAGTACTAGTACTAAGGTCATAGCTGATCCAAAGGATGGACTATAATAGATAATTTAGCACTAAGGTCTTAGCTGACACAGCAACTGACATGAATACACATTCTACACTAGGGTATTTGACCAAAAAAAACTGACTAGATTAGACCTTTTAGTACTAGTACTAAGGTTATAACACTAGGGCTTTAACTGACTCAAAGACATAATACTATCACTAGAGTCTTAGGCTGACCCAAAGACATAATACTATCATTAGAGTCTTAGCTGACCCAAAGACATAATATAAGCACTAGGGTCTTAGCTGACCCAAAGACATAATACTAGCACTAGAGTCTTAGCTGACCCAAAGACATAATACTAGCACTAGAGTCTTAGCTGACCCAAAGACATAATACTAGCACTAGAGTCTTAGCTGACCCAAAGACATAAATACTAGAGTCTTATGACCCAAAGACATAATATAGCACTAGAGTCTTAGCTGACCCAAAGAGCATTAGATAGCTGACCCAAAAGCACTAGAGTCTTAGCTGACCCAAAGAGTCTTAGCTGACAAAGAATACTAGCACTAGAGTCTTAGTGACCCTTAGCAGAGTCTTAGCTGACCCAAAGACATAATACTAGCACTAGAGTCTTAGCTGACCCAAAGACATAATACTAGCACTAGAGTCTTAGCTGACCCAAAGACATAATACTAGCATTAGAGTCTTAGCTGACCCAAAGACATAATTCTAGCACTAGAGTCTTAGCTGACCCAAAGACATAATACTAGCACTAGAGTCTTAGCTGACCCAAAGACATAATACTAGCACTAGAGTCTTAGCTGACCCAACGACATAATACTAGCACTAGAGTCTTAGCTGACCCAAAGACATAATACTAGCACTAGGGTCTTAGCTGACCCACTATTCTTTTTAGATCATCTTTAACGCACATAGAACGTGACCATAAGTGCTTCGATCTCCTGCTGAGTATGTCTCCAAGAGTTTTAAGCTAACAACTCCATTCTGTTCTGGTTGATTTAATGACGGGTGTTTCCCGCATGGTTTTCCTATCTTACGACTACTATTGGTACACCAATGATATGCAGTCTATTCAGTGAAATATCATTTTCCACAAAACTGAAAGCCTCACAGCGTTTAGTCCCTCGTAGCGCAGTGATGCTGTCTCTCCTGTCCATGGAGGACGCATTCCTGATAGTCACACTGCCAGCCAGTGCATCCGCTCTCTCGTTGCCTTTCACACTAGTATACCCTAGGACAAAAATGAAAGTTATTTTGCAAAACGCTGCGTGCTGTATCTGATGGAGCCACTGTTTCTGTTTCCGAAAATATCCCACCTTTAACTTCTGTAGACTGGTGAACTCCTGAGTATTCAGCTATTCAAGGGACTCTGTTTGACACAGCCATGACTTTCATTGGCATGTTCGAGCAAAGGCTCCGCTATCTTCTTTTATAACTTTCCCTTCAGATCTTGCCATAACAATCAATGCACTTCGCTTCTGACGTATCACAGAACCATCTTCCGGTGACGTGTTTTGCCCTACCAAAGCTTTCACTTCTGCATCAACTATTGTTGGCGCCAAATCACGGCACTGTCTTGTCAAGATAACTACCACAAAGTTCTGCTTGTAGGCATTTGGTATGAATATCCATTCCTCCATGGTTTATGTTAACAGACCCAAAGACTGAATAGATTAGACATTATAGAACTAGGGTCTTAACCGACCCAAAAACTGACTAGAATAGACACTAATGCACTAGGAACATACTGACTGATTGACTGGTGTTAGAATGAAGTTGGCAATGTAAGCCTTGCACGGTCAAAGAATACAGCTAAAACAAATTCCCATTTTGTCAACCCCACAGCAGACAACACTCACTCGTGCTGATAAACATCAACACATTTCTTTGGTAGTTTCACAGCGCTCTCAATGAGGCAACATACTTGAACAATTAAAACACTGAAGAGGAGGAGGAAATGAAGAAGGAACAGCAGAAGAGGCTATAAGAAAACAATGCACTGTTAATGGTTGTATATACTTTAATCATACACCTGAAACAATGTGACTAAGCCAACTGTAATCGTACTGGCGACTGTTCCAGGGAACTCGGCCAACCCTGGCACCACTTCCACCAACCATGGGGAGCCACTCTGGCTAAACAGTGCGACCAACTCTGGCAGATGCACATGCAGAATGAGAACTGAACAAAGGTCACATGATACATGTGTAGTTTACTAGACATTGAGGCAGAGCTCCATGGCCAGCAAGGCTATAGATAGACAGAGACTGTCAGTGATTTAAAGATGTAAAAAAAACAACACTGATAAACAGAAATACTGATAGACTGACAGATATAGATAGAAAGAAGCACAGACAGACTGATATAAACAGACAGATATAGATAGAGAGGAGCAAAGACAGAGAGACCAACTGAGACTGATATAACTAGACGGATAGATAGAAGTGTGTTCGTGTGCATATTAAGTTAAGTTAAGTTAAGGCGCATTGCCCGCAGCTGGGATCGAACCTGGCATCCATGTAGAAAGGCAGACAACTAGACAGACATACCAATAAACAAAAATAAATGGACAAAAGGACAGGCAGATGCAAAGATACATGACATAGGTAGACATACATATTGCAGTGCCAACACAACAGCTACCAAGCAGAAGTTACACTCTTCTGTACAAGAAGTTTTCAAACCAACATCTGTGAACCACTCAATCAAAATACAGATTGAAAACTCAATATGAGAAAACAAGACCCATTCATTTTGCAACTCATATGTTTCTCCACATCTGTAAAAATGCCA